ACACATGTCAACACCACAAATTTTCAGTATTTTAAATAATTAATAATAAATAATAGTTAAATAAATAAATATAGACATATGTCAATAATTAGAATTAGAACGACACATGTCATCACCACATAAAGTAGGATTTTTAAATAATTAAAATTTATTAATTACATGTAATAGGATTAAATAATAAAATCCAACTTTTTGTAATTATCTTAAATTCGAAATTAAAATATTAAATTTATTTATTAAAAGATTACTTAAAATTAACGTGATATAATCATTTTATAATTTTCAAAATTTATATAAGATAATAACTAAAAAATTTAACTATCTAAATCTGAAAAACAAAAAATAAACATTGCAGAACATGAGTGTGATTATTAATTTTCAAATTTAAAAATATAAAAAAAAATTGCTCCACGTTAGTCAGTGGATAATTTTAAGGAACAATTCAATTAGTGGATAATTTTAAGGATTAATTTCAAATTTTAAATTATTATAAAATAAAAATTACAAACTTAACTAATAATAATATTAATATTAATATTTTTTCAGAAATGTACCAAATGACAGTTACACATAAAATTCTTTTCCCGGTATCAATTTTCAAAATAAAATTTCCCCAGAAAAATTTGAAAATATTAAAAATATACAAAAACTATATATATATATTTATTTATTTTAATTTGAATTGATCCTAATCCTTATCTGATTGATGATTTTTGAATTTCAAATTGATGACAACTTCTTATCAACGATTTATTAACTTCTCATAATGAATGACTTCTTACTGCAGTACAATTATCCTATAAATAAACTACCCCACTTCTTCTAAACCAACCCCACCCACTTCTTCTCCTTCTGTTCTATTTTTTTTCCCCATTAATCAACAGGGAAAGAAATACTTTGGGATGCATACACTTACTTTGTTTTCGTTGTCTTCTGGAGGTTCTGTGAATTTATTTTTCATACTGAAAAAATCTATGATAGTTCAAATTATGAGTTTTTTGATATAATATAGTATCATGTTTATCTATATGATTAGTTTTCTCTTATATATATATATATATATCAAAGTAAGACACATCCAAGGAGGGATCAATCCCCCATTAGTGAAGGAGATTTTCTATATATGTCAATATCGAATCAAAGAGTACAATTCTATACATGTCAATATCCAATCCAAGAATACAATAGTGGTACAATTATTGATCTGATGAAACTAACGGTAATTTATGCTTCTTTGAAACAATTCTTTTCACGAAAAACTTACTTTTTATATTACAAATATTTTGAAATTCTAAAATGTTATGCTTCAAATGGGGTGTTATTAGCTATGAAGAAGATAAAACAAGGATGTTGATGTCGGGGCCATAAATTCTATGTCAGGAAAGGAAAAAATTAAATATATACTAGGAGAAATATTTATATAAAATAATTTAGTAAGGAAATACTTAAATTAAAATCAGAAAAGGAACAAAAAAAATATTATTAACTAAGTAATAACAAAATTAATTTAAAATCTGGAATTAAAAATTTAAAACAATTTAAAACTTAAAATCTTTTTAAAGGAGAAGAAAAATTGCC